AACATTTAAAACTTTTCTCAAAGTTTTTATTCAATTAAATCCGAAAAATGGCAATTGCAGAATCGTTATTCTAAAATAAAAACACAAACGAAAAACTGAAAAACTGAAAAAGTTCTTAAAACTTTTGTGCATGCCTCATTCAGCAGTTCCCATCATTATTTTGACAGCTAGAATGACAATTGTACGCATATACATAAACGCATACGTGAATGCGCACAAAGGCACAACAACGTAAGCAGCACAAGTCCGTGTTAAGGGCAGTAACTGACACACAAGCATACATACACACGCACCTACTTGTCAAGCTTTTAAAATTCAAATATGGCGTTGCAGTTTTGTTTGCATTTGCCTCAACACGCTTGATTGCCTACATGCATTTTGGTTACGTTATCTCTATGTATGTGTGTGTGAGTGTGTGTTTATTTGAGGTACAAGTACTCGTTAATTTTTTGAGCAGTTGTAAAATAGCTGTGTGGGCTTATATTTTATTGTTGTTAGTGTTGTTAGTGTTCTGCTCTCGACTGAATACTCATATTCTCGTATGTGCAATACTTATATGCTGACATGTGCTGCGTTTAACACGTGAGTGCACACACGAAACAGACATTCCTGACAAATAAACATAAACAAGTTAATTTAAATAAAATAAAAGAATTTAAAAAATTGTGTAACACTAACGGAGAACATCCGTTGAGGTTTATTTAACTTTTACAGTCTGTATTCATTCCACTCTTTTCTGTGCTTTTTTTTATTTTTTTTGCTTTCTGCTCCACATTTCCCTGTTAACTTCTGCATTCCTTTGCTGGTCGTTGACAACGATACGTTTCTGTTTTTACAGCCATTTTACAAAATTTTTTATGATACAATTTAATTTTTATGTAAATTTAATTTATTTAAATAAATACGCTTATTAAATGTTTTTTTCTGTTTAAAATGCAGAATTTACTTAAAAAGATAACTTGACTTTTTTATGCTTGTGAATTCAACTTAATTTTAAAAATATGTGACAATATTCTTAAAAAAATATAAAAGACCGTATTAAATAAATTGGGTATTGAGTTCAATAAACACGTATAAACCCCAAATTTGGAATTCTTTTATTTCTCCTATATAAAAACAAAATTTAATTAAAACTATAAATCTAAATATTATTTTTCAACTTAAAAAATAATAATATTAACTCTAGACTGAAACGGAATAATATACCCGCCATCCTGCTTTCCTAAAGGTCGCCCTGATAAATTTAACTTTTACGCCATGTGAATTCTGATAAATAAGCACTGGTTTATAATATATTTCATTATAGTATGTTTATATATAATAATTTTTAATGTAATGTTATTAGTCTTCAAGATTCTAAAACTTATTGTTAGGTTTTCATTTAAAGCGATTCAATAAAGAATCTGTCTTTGAAAAAAAAAGGGAAAAAAAAATAACAATAATCATAATTATACTAACAATGCCGTAATAAGTAACACTAATGCTATTTCTCAAATAATAAGTTAGATAATAGCAACCCAAAAATTTCTTTAGAATAACCAAAGCATCATTGTATTTCATTTAAAAATGATCTCAAATTCAATTATACTCGAAGTAAGATCTTCTAGAACCCATAGAAAAAGTTTGACTACAATAGATAACGACTTGTGACATGTTTTTTGATTTGGGAGCGTTATTTTGTAATTTGATTCTTCAAATAGATCAGTTGGGCTATATAGCGATAGCTATTGATGGTTTGTTGTCTTTCTAGGTAGTCGATACGAGCATCCCAAAATACCGACATCATAACTTTGTCAGTTGTGTTGGCCGCCTTGGGCGAGGTTGACAAACCATTTTTCACTTAGCTTAGCTAATTTGACTCTAGAGTGAAATTATGGACCCAACTCTGGGCAATTATTACATAGCATATTACATATCAATAAATAAAATTTCTTTTTTCCTGCTTTCAAAATTGTACTCAGCTCACAGAATCATCGATAACAATTTATGGACAACTGTAAGCAAACGCGGCACCAATTTTGAGAAGAGCTTTCTCATAGACAATTGTTCTTAGAGGTATCAGCTCTCTCCTGTCTCTCCTGTTTTTTGATGTTTTTGGTATCATCACTTCCTACATCATCGATGTCAGCACACCACTTCTTTACAATTTGCTTCGATGAAGCAAAGTCCGGATAGCATTCATTAAGTCAAGCTTTTGCTGGTAATTTTTCCATCAAAAATCAATGATAATTTATAGCACATAAAATTGGTTTGAAAATTAAACTCTGTTCTCTATAATTAAATAAGTAATCGTTGAAACGTCATAAAATTTCAAAGGGCCTTATTTTAATTTATCACTGCCAGTATATTATCCTATATACATTTTAACCCATATGTTATATGAAAAATAACTAAATTAAATACAAAAAATTAATCATTTGCTTTTAAGATAGGTTCCACAGAATGCAATACAACTTCAATAGCACTTCAATACTGGATACAATCCCCGTAAGAACAAAAAAGTTACAATGATAAGTTTCAAGTTGAGTAGCAGATTACGCAAAAATCTAATACTAACACTCAATATAGTTCTACTAATTTAAAAAAAATTGGGGTGATGATAAAGAGGTATTTTTAAAATTATATATTTGAACATATAGTAAAAAATCCTATAAGTTGTAACTATTGTAACCGTAAACTCGAGATAATATTGTAACTCTTTTCTGCCCATTGTTCATCTGAAATGTATTACGATATGAAGACTATCTATTGCCATTGTGTTGTTATTGGCCCTCTAAATGTGTTGAAATGACTAGTATTTGTGTATAAATTAAGTACATAAAAAGAACTTCAAATCAAATACTTCAATAGGAATAATTTCACTCCATTTGTTTACTATAAAAATAACAAATTAAATAAAATTTGAATTCTTAATTCCAAAAATTTTCTACTTTGAATTTGTTTTCTATTGCCCTTAATTTTCTAAGAAATAAATAAATAAATTAGAAAAAAGTGCCTATGAACTAAACTTTTGAAGCCAACATATTAAATAGGGATTTTATAAATTTTTCTTTAAAAGTTTTATAAACCTATAAGGAAAAGAGGAGGAAAGGGAAAAGTAAAAGCAACACATCAACGGAAATTCAATGAAAATTTTAGATATAAGAAAAATTCTCTTGGGAGAAAGTTAAAAAAATAAACTAATGTAAATATATTATTTTCTGCAAATGTTGTTGTTGCTTTCTGAGATTTTTGAATGTTCCTTTAATGTTTGTATTAATATTTGGGATTTATATATACAAAATATGCAAAATATATAAATATACAAAAATTCAACGTCAAATATTATATGAGAACTTCGCCTTATCTAAATATTTTTATATTTTGATTTAAATAATTTAAATATTTAGTACTTTTTGTTTGTTATTTAGTTTTTATATTGAAAACAAAACATTTTTCATAAAATAATTTTAAATTTCTTTGCTTAAAATATTATATTATATTGCTTTTAATTTACAGCATTAAATCAAAATGTTTAATTAAAAGAGGTAAATTTTTGAGATAAATTGAATTTTACAAAAAGCAAATATTATTTTAATAACTAAAGTAGAAAATTATTATTTTACTTATTTAGAAAATAAATAAAATAAATTTAATCAGTTTAAATCAAAAAAATTAAGAAATTCACTTTCCTTCACAGAGTCTTATTGATATAACTAAACAATATATTCAATTTAGAAACTTAAATTTATTAACATTTATTTAAATTTTTCGTTGAAAACTACTGAATAATTTTGACCATAAATTAAGTCGAATACTCTTAATAATTTACCTACGATATTTCAATATATACAGATTGCGCGAAAATGAACTGTAGGGCAGGAGCAGATATCTTCGTACCATCTGAAAACATAAATAACTCTCTTAGGCTACCTAATGAGGCTACGGTTTTTCAGGCGGAAATCCTAGCAATTAGAGAAGCCTGTCGGCAAGAGAAAGAAACCCGCAAGAAAAAGAAGCAATAATACATTTTCTCTCTGAATGCCCGGCTTTAGCGTCCCGAAGATATAGGTTCTTAGGAAAATACTTCTGTGATAGTTTATCAAACTACTCAACGATGAAGATGAAGGACCTATTAAATTACCTAAATTCGGCGGGATGGATTCAGTCTCTACTCTTCTATACTAGGGTTCTTGCGAGGAATGTGGTGCCAAACGGCGAAAAATCGCTAATTGAGGTACATTTGAAGTTATCTAATGGCCTGCCACTGCAACCAACCAACCAACTCTTAATAACCAGAAGAAGAAAAATTTATTATAGGAACATTTACTTTACAATGAAAGAACTGAACATTGATGTTGCATAGCAACTATATTCATATTTCAACTACATCCATTTACAGTCTCCTCAAAGAGTGGTACATACATACACTTCTTCATTGGAGCCAAATAACTTTTTATGAAACATCTTTTTGAATAAGATGAACAAATACGAGTCTCTGAGGAATAAATCCGACGAATATGATGGTTGACAAAACACATCAAGTTGTAATTTATGCAATTTGATCATCATAAACGATGACTTGTGACTCGATATATAATCTTTTCGCAAAACTACCTGTTTCTTCTTCATATCAGACTACATTTTTGCAATTACTTTCTTTGAATTGTTTTAATGCTATATAATAATCTTTACTTTATCTTTCCTTTCTTAAAAAAGTCGATTAATAAAATTTCAATCTCAAAATGCGAGTAGCAAAAGCTTCATTGGCCATAACAACCCATTATCGTTCGGCCGGAGAGAAACACCACTTCTTTCCACGCACCTCCGATATCTGCGTGTCTTCTTCAATCTCGTAAATCAAGTGCGTTGAGTGCTTTCTTAATTTAATAACTCCACCGACGACACGGTCTCG